GAGGCAGAAGAGAAAATGAGTGATGACGACGACCCGAGATCTCTGAGTCTTTCCAGTGAATCAGACGATTCACAGAAAGGAGCACCAGTGGCCAGGGCAAGGGGGGAGACTAGGGGGACACCCCAGGAAGAAAGGGCCAGAGGGGGCTCAGAGGGGAGCAGTGGGAAATCGGGACCAGCGTCACCCACAGAGAGCAGGGGAGAGGAAGGGCGCCAGGTATCAAGCGCTGGTAGCTCACAACAGGAGGGAGGGCACGAGTCAGGAGTGGCCACACCTCCATCGGGGAGCGAAGAAACGGTCAGACGGAAAGTGGAAGGTTGGGCGCGCGCGCCAAGTTCAAATGCACAGGAAGGTGGCGCAGTGAGCAGCCCGGAAAGGGAGCCAGGTCCTAAAGCCCGACGCAAGGAGACAGAAGGGTCCGGGGGGTCAGCGTCAGAAGAGTCCCGGAAGGAAGAGACCCCGGGGGGCAGAGGGACCCAGAGAAGAACAGTCAGGCGGAAAAGGTGGAGTAAGGCTAGGGTATTAAGTTGGTGTACAGGGGGCGGAGACTCAGACGGAGCTTCGCCGGTCTAGCCCTTAAGACGTAGAGTTGCACGCAGCAGCTTGAGAATGGAAACTGTAACTCAATAAAAGACTTTTACAAGTGACCGCTGGCTAGCGTGATCCTCTGTGAGCTAGGATCTGGAAGCAGCTCTGACACACGCTTTCTCAGGAGCAAGCTGCCCTTCATCACTGTGAATCACGATGTAAACCCAGAGGATACAGTGGTGCCTCGCAAGACGAAATTAATCTGTTCCGCGAGTCTCTTCGTCTTGCGGTTTTTTCGTCTTGCGAAGCACAGCTATTAGTGGCTTAGCGGCTATTAACGGCTTAGCGGCTATTAACGGCTTAGCGGCTATTAACGGCTTAGCGGCTATTAACGGCTTAGCGGCTTTAAGAAAAACGAAACAAACTCGCAAGAACTCGCAAGACGTTTCGTCTTGTGAAGCAAGCCCATAGGGAAATTCGTCTTGCGGAAAGACTCAAAAAACGGAAAACCCTTTCGTCTAGCGAGTTTTTCGTCTTGTGAGGCATTCGTCTTGCGGGGCACCACTGTATATAGATCTATACTGATTAAGGTCAATAACCGGTTGAGAAAGTAGGAAGAAAACAGAGCACATAAAACACGATAGAACACATTGGAAGGGGCAAGAGGAAAATAAAATGGAAGAATGGTATAAAGAGGTGTAGGATATAGCTATTAATAATAAATTAAAATGTGCCATTAAGGAAAGACGGGGAATATGCAGGAGAAATGATTTTGAGGAGATATGGAAGGCGTTTGTAGAAGTTGTACTGTTAAAACGGAAAGGGGTCAAACCATCATAAGACGTGTTAAAATTTTGGGAGGTTGAATAGTTACAATGGAATAGTCTCAGGGGTGGGGTGCACTTTTTTATTCTTACTTATTCTTACTTTGTCAAAATAAAAAGAAAAAGAAAACAAATACCAAAAGTAACACATTAAGTATACTATTAAAGGTAGAATTAACAATAATGTGAAACGTGAAAAATATAAAATAATTATTTTAAAATGGTAAAAACAATGTAAGGTGTTAATAATTTTTAAATCAATTAAGGATCCTGTGAAACCCAGAAATTTACCCCCCTTTTTCTTCCCAACCCTATACTGCATATAACACCACATCAAATGTAACTGAAGAATCTGAAGAAAGAGATCATGCATGTGCTTTTGAAAATGAGGGGTAATTTTTATTTTTTTAAAGGAGAAAAGGAATGTGTGGCAGCCCCCAGTATTTAAAGAGCCCCACCCTTATTACATCATTAGAACCAGAACATAAACCTATGAAACCAGAAAATAGCAAAAAATATCAATGTTTGGTCCAGATCCTGGGTACTGCCCCCTCACTAAAGGAGGCTGTATGGATGATTCACTAAATGACGTGTATACCTGAGCTTAAGGCCTCAAATTCTCTTTATCTTATATGCTGCCTTATTACAAAAATGACGACTAGACTTCTGATCCTAAACTGAATAGTTGCCCCTTCCAGAACCCACTGCTCTCAACTGCCTCGCGTTCAAACTCCCTTTCCAATCCTCATCCAATCACCACCCACCACCAGAGTTCCACAATCTCTCTTTCCCCCTCCCTCCCTCCTTGACATTCCTTTAATAATTCTGATACAGTTACAGTGGTACCTCAGGTTAAGAACTTAATTCGTTCTGGAGGTCTGTTCTTAACCTGAAACTGTTCTTACCCTGAAGCACCACTTTAGCTAATGGAGCCTCCTGCTGGTGCTGCGCCGCCGCCGCGCGATTTCTGTTCTCATCCTGAAGCAAAGTTCTTAACCTGAGGTACTATTTCTGGGTTGGCGGAGTCTGTAACCTGAAGCGTCTGTAACCTGAAGCGTATGTAACCTGAGGTGTCACTGTACATTCAATATTTTATACAGTGGTGCCTCGCAAGACGAAATTAATTCGTTCCGCAAGTCTCTTCGTCTTACGAGTTTTTCGCCTTGCGATGCACGGTTTCCCATAGGAATGCATTGAAAATCAATTAATGCGTTCCTATGGAAACCGACTTCAGACCAGGTCCGGGGACAGTCTGTCCCCCGACCTCTTCTGAAGGCTGGGGGGGGGGGGGACAAGGGCTTTTCTTCCCACCCCCAGCATTTAAAAAAACCCCGGGACAGCGGAGGGCTTCTCCGCTGTCCGGGCGATCTTAAAATGCTGGCGGGCGGCATTTTAAAATCGCCCCGGGACAGCGGAGGACTTCTCCGCTGTCCGGGGCGATTTAAAAGCCCCTGGGAAGGCAGGCAGGGGGGACAAAAGTCTTTGCTCCCCCCTGCCTGCCTTCCCGGGAGAGCGGAGAAAGGCAGCGCTTTTCTCCGCTGTCCCGGATGGCTTTTGAAGGCAGGCGGGGGGGGGGGCAAAGACTTTCGCCCCCCGCCCGCCTTCAGAAGGTGTTCCCGCCCCGCCACTCGGCTTCGGAGCATCGTTCCGAAGCCGGGCGGCGGCACCAACCCCTCTCGCTCTCCAGGCTTCAGGAGAGCCCCAGCGCCAGCCCTGCAAGCTCCGGGGACAGCTGGGAGGCGCAGCGCGTCTTCCTGCTGTCCCCGGACCTGATCTGAAGGCGGGCGGAGGGGAGAAGAGCGCTTCTCCCCGCTGCCTGCACCGCAAGCTCCGGGGACAGCTGGGAGGCGCAGCGCGTCTCCCCGCTGTCCCCGGACCTGATCTGAAGGCGGGCGGCGGGGAGCCTTCCGAAGCCCGGCGGCGGCGGGAGGAGGCGTCCCCGCCCCGCCGCCAGGCTTCGGAGGAGGTCCGAGGACAGTGGGGAAGACGCGCTGCGCTTCCCCGCTGTCCCGGAGATTTCCCTATGGGCTGTCGTCTTGCGAAGCAAGCCCATAGGGAAATTCGTTTTGCGAAGCGCCTCCAAAACGGAAAACCCTTTCGTCTAGCGGGTTTTCCGTCTTGCGAGGCGTTCGTCTTGCGGGGTACCACTGTACATGCTCCTCCCTGTAACCATACCGTATTCCTGGTTCCTAGGAAATGGAGGTAAGCAAACTGCAGGTTCTCCATCTCTGTTCCAAAAACCAGATGTCTTCCCCCAAAATAATCCTGAGAATTGTAGTTTGTTAGGGGTTCTGGGGATTGTAGGTCTGTGAGAGGGAAGTCACAATAATAATAGTAATTTATTATTTGTACCCCGCCCATCTGGCTGGGTTTCCATCTGGCACAAATCATTTTGGGGGAAGTGATGTGCTCTAAAGGAGCATTGGATGCTCTTCAAAACATAGCATCATAGAATTGTAGAGTTGGGATCCCGAGGGTCATCTAGTCCAACCCCCTGCAATGCAGGAATCTCAACTAAATGATCCATGGCTGATGGCCATCCACGCGCTGCTTAAAAACCTCCAAGGAAGGAGAGTCACTGCTTCAGGCCCTAAGGGCCTCTGGAACAGGAGAAAACAAGCTTGCTTCATCCTCCATGTGACAGCCCTTTAGGATTTACTTATTGAAAGGGCTGCATGGTGTGGATCTCATATCAGGGTTATGAGAGTGTAAGCAACACATTTCTCTCTCTCCTTTCTCCACACCATGCAGAATTGCAGTGGTAACCAGAAGGCTGGAGTTTGGAGCCCAGCCAGGGCTGGCTGTGGGCAGGATCCTTGCATTGCTGGGCTTTGGACTAGTTGACCATTGGGATCCCTTCCAATTCTGCCATGCTACGATTATATCAAGCAGCTAAAGGAACGAAAAGATGCTTCTGAAACATTTGGGAATCACAGGAACGCTCTCCCCACCAGTGGATTCCAGCAAGAGCTTGCATCTTCCTTAGGAGAGAGGCAGACCAGAACAAGGGGCAAAAGGCTCAGAGTTCAGGTAGGTGGAAATGCCAATTGAGTGCCCTATGCTATCAGAATGGTTACTTCCCGTGTCCCCCATCCTCATGTGCCAGACTGGTACTAACATGACTGGGAGCCAGGCGCCTGCTGATTGCTTCGTTTTCTTTGCAGGGAGGGAGCTTTCCCCCAACATAAACTTGTTTATCTAGCCCACGGCGACCCCTGCCGCCTGCTCTTACCGGCCCTGCGCTGCGGCCCACTTCCGGAGCAGTGGAAATAGCTTGTGCGCATGTGTTATTTGCACATGCGCAAACGTTATTTCCGGTGAACACCTGGGTCGGAGGAGGCCCGTGCACATGCACACAAGCTATTTTCGGTGCTCCTCTGACCCGGAAGTGTGCTGGAAATAGCGTGTGCGCACGCATATGGACATGCGCTCCCCCGTCCTCTGGTCTGCCGCACAATCAGTGCTGGAGACACTGGCTGACCCCTGATATACAGTCATACCTCGAGTTTCGTTTGCTTCACGTTGCATTTTTTCAGGTTACGAACGTGGCAAACCTGGAAGTGTTTACTTATGGGTTCGCCGCTTCGTACATGCCCAGAAGCACACTTATCGCATCACATGCACGCACAGAAGCGGCGCTCTACTTACGGACTTCTCGGAGTGCGAGCAGCACCCCAGAACGGATTGTGTCTGTAACCTGAGGTACCACTGTACTTTGTTCTGGCCAAATCCCTGGAGAGCCGTGATGACCCTCAGGTACTGGGGCAGAGGGAAGGAAGGGGTCCTTGTGAAACACGTTGGGGGAGTCTGTGGCTTCCAGCAAGTGCTTTTGAGCATAGCCATCACGGCTAGTTGCCTTTGGTAGGCCTCTCCTCCATGCAATTGTCTAGCTCTCTTTGAAAGCCATCTCATCCAAGATGCTCTTGTGATGCATTTGATTCTCCTGTGGTTCCTTGCTCCTGCAAGGAGATGACTATGGTGAGATCCTTTGGTTAACATCTATCTGGGCTGGAAAATATGAAAGAATCAGAGGACTGGTGAGCTTCCCTTGAAGCACAACTGATCAAAGGCAGGCAGATCTGTTAGCATTTTGATAAAGATGCTCAAACGACAAAGGGTGCTATCATGCCCCGCAAGCGACCCAGAAAAAGCTCCAGAACCGATGGAGAAGAGAGCAGTTAAGTGGTCAGTGGGGTAGAGTTGAGTTTTTACCTCTATCTTAAAAATATATTAAATCTATTATTTGATTTTTGATGTAAACCCCCAAAGGTATTGTCTGTAGTTGAGTTTTTACCTCTATCTTCCGTACATTTCTTTTCATTGCTACGGCTAGTGGCTGGTGCAAAGGATGACTCTTCGGATTCTGATCCCAGAAGCGGGATCCCCTGCGAGCGATGAGCGGACCGGAAAGGAGACCGATTAGATCTTGGAGCGCGCGGGCGGGCGGGCGCGCGCCTGCCTGCCTGTCTCCTCCCTTCCCCTCCTTTCGGATCGCTGCGCGGCTGCAGCTCCCTCTAGGGCCCTCCGGGCGGCTTGCAGGTCGAGGGTGTCGGGTTTCCCGGAAGCGGCGGCGGCTGTCCTGCCCTGCCTCGCCGGGGGAGGCTCTTTCCCGGCAAAGCCGCGGCTGCCGGGCCACTGGGCTGCCGGGTCCCGGCCGATCGGCGTCGCCTGCGGCTGCTGCGGCGCCTTGCGCTCCTTCCCCGGCGCGCGATGGAGGCGCTGCCTTCCCGGGACGAGAAGCGCAACCCTTTGCGCGGTGCCAACTTCTGCTCGCGGCTTTTCTTCTGGTAGGTCGGCGGCGGGATCCCTTTCGTGTTGTGTTTTCTTATTTTTTTACCCCTTTGCTTTCCCTTCTCATTCCAGCAAATTAATTGGTGGTGGGTTGTTGTTTTTTTGCATCCTCCCCCGCTTCAGTTGCGGAAGATGAGAACCAACGCCAATGGTACCCCTGGACACGTGCAGAGTGCCGGAATGAAAACCCACGCGCTGTTAAGATGCGGGGTGTTTAGAGCGCCATTCTGCCTGCGCACCGCCCTGAGATCTTCGGGCGGAGGGCGGGATATAATTTAGATAAATAGACACATGAATCTGCCATCGGGCCGCAAATCTTGGGAAAGATTTTTCTTCTTTTTTTCTTGCTTCCCCTTCTCATTCCAGCAAATGATCGAGTTGCTCCTCTGCCTTAATTAATTGTTGATTTTATTTTTTGCACACACCCCCCCCGCTTCAGTTGCGGAAGATGAGAACCAGCGCCAATGGTACCCCTGGGCATGTGCAGAGTGCCGTAATAAAAACCCACGCGCAGTTAAGATGTGGGGTGTTTAGAACGCCGTTCCGCCTGTATACCGTCCCGGGATCCTCTGGCGGGATATGAATTAGATAAATAGACAAATGGATCTGCCATGAGGCCGCAAATCTTGGGAAGGATTTGCTTTCTAGTGTGTCTCTTCATCGACATGAAGCTGTGCTTGGGGACACGAGGTGACCAGGGGATTGTGTTCTCCCCATTTGACTTAATCTCCACTCCCTCCCCTCCCAATCTGTGTTTATTCTAGAGTAGCTTGCATTTCAGTATCATAATTCTGGAGCAAAAGGTATTGTGTGTTCAGTAGTAGTATTTGTTTTTCTACGGTTTTTGAAAACCAGTAAGTAGATTGTAGGATTTGTCAAGCTTCTTGTACACTGAAATGATGTGGGCGTTAGAATTGTTCTCTAAATTAAGGCTGAATTCTTAACACCACCTAACTGGAAGTAAACCCCACTGGCTTAAATTGGACTTAGACATGGTTAGGATTGTGCAGTCATTTATTTGTCCAAGTGAACCAGGGTTTGGAACCGGTAAATAGTGCTTAAATAGGAGAACTCTCTCTCTCTCTGTGTGTGCAGAAGTTTGTGATATTACACAATTCAGCCGAAGTGAAAGAAAATATAAAAGATACGAAAATGAAATACATCAAATCTAACTGAAAATAATATCCCACAATCATGGCATGTGTGGATCCCATTCATTCCCATCTTATCCTGTAACAAGAAATTTCCTAATCATACAGCTCATTCTTATACATGCCTACTCAGAAAGTAAGTCCCACTTATCTAGGAGCAAACCTTACTAGATTCAAGAGGGCTTAGTTCTGGGGAGACTAGGATTGGGCTATAAGTTTAAGTTTCTGTCTAAAAGAAAAGGGCTAGGTTTATATTGTACCGCAGCACCAGAGTGGATTTATTTAGAAAAAGGATGATTTAGGCAAGAATATCACTTTACATGAAGAAAAAGGGCCACAATCCTGCTTGAAGTTAGGTGTGCTGGAATGTGGGCTAAGTGCCCAGAAATTTCCATAAACAGAGCTGGTAATTACTGGGCAACAGCAGATCTTTTGTGAGATGGAAAGTAAACCTTTCTGATGTTTGGTTGCTGGAGTCACAAATATCCATCACTTGTGTTCATTTCTGTAACGTGATGTGTCATGTTAAATTTATCGTCCTAGTTAAATTTTATCATCCTTGACTTCAGATCAGATATTTTCTTCCTCGCTGTTCCTTACCCATTTATAATATAAAATGAATTCATGCACCTCTTTTAAACTCCCTGGTTAAAGTAAAAGCAGGCTTTTAAGGTGCTTAAAAGAGGCACATGAATTCAATTTTATTCGAGAAGTATTGATTTTAAACATCTCAGGTAACCTTTCATCCCTTATCCTAGAATAAAAAGGTACAGTGGTGCCTCGCAGGACGAAATTAATTCGTTCCGCAAGTCTCTTCGTCTTGCGGTTTTTTCGTCTTGCGATGCACGGTTTCCCATAGGAATGCATTGAAAATCAATTAATGCGTTCCTAGGGAAACCGCCTTCAGACCAGGTCCGGGGACAGACTGTCCCCGGACCTCTTCTGAAGGCTGGGGGGGGGGGACAAGGGCTTTTTAAAAAACCCTGGGACAGCGGAGGACTTCTCCGCTGTCCGGGCGATCTTAAAATGCTGGCGGGCGGCATTTTAAAATCGCGCCGGGGCGATTTAAAAGCCCCTGGGAAGGCAGGCAGGGGGGACAAAGACTTTCGCCCCCCGCCCGCCTTCAGAAGGTGTTCCCGCCCCCCCCGCCCGGCTTCGCAGCAGCGCTACGAAGCCCGGCGGCTGGGGCAGGTGTTCCCGCCCCCCACCCGGCTTCGCAGCAGCGCTACGAAGCCCGGCGGCTGGGGCAGGTGTTCCCGCCCCCCCCGCTTCGGAGCAGCGTTCCGAAGCGGGGTGGCTGGGGCAGGTGTTCACGCCCCCCGCCCGGCTTCGCAGCAGCGCTACGAAGCCCGGCGGCTGGGGCAGGTGTTCCCGCCCCCCCACCCCGCTTCGGAGCAGCGTTCCGAAGCGGGGTGGCTGGGGCAGGTGTTCCCGCCCCCCGCCCGGCTTTGCAGCAGCGCTACGAAGCCCGGCGGCTGGGGCAAGTGTTCCCGCCCCCCCCACCCCGCTTCGGAGCAGCGTTCCGAAGCGGGGTGGCTGGGGCAGGTGTTCCCGCCCCCCGCCCGGCTTCGCAGCAGCGCTACGAAGCCCGGCGGCTGGGGCAGGTGTTCCCGCCCCCCCACCCCGCTTCGGAGCAGCGTTCCGAAGCGGGGTGGCTGGGGCAGGTGTTCCCGCCCCCCGCCCGGCTTCGCAGCAGCGCTACGAAGCCCGGCGGCTGGGGCAGGTGTTCCCGCCGCCCCCACCCCGCTTCGGAGCAGCGTTCCGAAGCGGGGTGGCTGGGGCAGGTGTTCCCGCCCCCCGCCCGGCTTCGCAGCAGTGCTACGAAGCCCGGCGGCTGGGGCAGGTGTTCCCGCCCCCCCCGCTTCGGAGCAGCGTTCCGAAGCGGGGTGGCTGGGGCAGGTGTTCCCGCCCCCCCCACCCCGCTTCGGAGCAGCGTTCCAAAGCGGGGTGGCTGGGGCAGGTGTTCCCGCCCCCCGCCCGGCTTCGCAGCAGCGCTACGAAGCCCGGCGGCTGGGGCAGGTGTTCCCGCCCCCCCCCGCTTCGGAGCACCGGGAGAAGCGATCTCCCCGCAGCCCCTTGCTTCAAAAGAGGTCTGGGGGCAGACCTCTTTTGAAGCAAGGGGCGGTGGGGAGAAGCGATCTCCCCGCCACCCCTTGCTTCAAAAGAGAAGACCCGCTGTCCCCGGGGCAAGCTTCGTTTTGCGAAGCAAGCCCATAGGGAAATTCGTCTTGCAAGGCAACTCGAAAACGAAAAAACCTTTCGTTTTGCGAGTTTTTCGTCTCGCGAGGCGTTCGTCTTGCGGGGTACCACTGTAAAGGGACCCCTGACAATTAGGTCCAGTCGCGGACGACTCTGGGGTTGCGGCGCCCATCTCGCTTTATTGGCCGAGGGAGCTGGCGTACAGCTTCCAGGTCATGCGGCCAGCATAACTAAGCCAGAGCAGCGCACGGAAACGCCGTTTACCTTCCCGTTGGAGTGGTGCCTATTTATCTACTTGCATTGCATGCTTTCGAACTGCTAGGTTGGCAGGAGCAGGGACCGAGCAACGGGAGCTCACCCCGTCGTGGGGATTCGAACCGCCGACCTTCTAATCGGCAAGTCCTAGGCTCTGTGGTTTAACCCACTTCTCACTTTAACAAAAATTCTAGCTGCTGTTCGCTCAGTTTCTGTCAGGGTTAGCTGACGTTTGAGACACGCACAGTGGAGGAACAATAACTAACATTTTCCCGCAACTATGCAGTGCTCTATTTTTCTGGATCCTGTTTTTGTTGCTAGGCTCCACTCCATCCTTGTAGAGGCATAGAGAATTGGGGTCCTTGGTTCAAATGTTGCCCCTGCCAATAACTCACTAGGTGACCTTAGACAAGCTGCCTTGTCTTTCTCAGCTTCAGTCCATCCCCACCCCACCCCACCCCTCTGCAGTATCCTGGGGACAGTAACCCTGACCTACCTTAAGGAGCAAGATTTCAGCCAGGCCAAACTGAATGTGTTTAGGATCCCCCACAGCTAATTTTGTACTTAAAGTTTCATCTGTGCACAGTGAGAAGAAGGTTGCAGGGCTACATGGGCCTATGGGGTGGTTTGAGTGGAATATTTGGGAAGTGGTGCTTTGGGCGAGGGTGTTTAACTGAGGCAAATCATTTCCGCCCCCCCAAAAACACACACGCTATATTCTGCAAGGTGGAAAGACAGGTACAGTCATACCTCAGGTTACTTCAGGTTGCCCGTTTTCGGGTTACGGACGCCCCGAAACCCGGAAGTACTGGAATGGGTTACTTCTGAGTTTCGGTGCTCGCGTATGCGCAGAAGCACTAAACCGCACTTTGTGCAGAAGCGCTGAATCGCAACCCTCGCGTGCAGAGATGCGGCGCTGCGGGTTGCGAACATGCTTCCCGCACGGATCACGTTCACAACCCGAGCAACCACTGTACATTTATTGTTCCCGTTTTCCTCTCTGCCCAGCAGATAGTAATTAGTTGTGTGTGTGTGTGTGTGTGTGAGAGAGAGAGAGAGAGAGAGAGAGACAGTGTTAGAAACTTCGAGATATAAACTAGGTGCCAAGTGACTCCTTAAACCAGGGTTACAGTCTCCGAAACAGAATGCCTAGTTGCCATTTTGGGGTCAGACAGCTCAAAAGTCATATTTTTAAAGACAACTTTTGGCTTCTGATTCGTTCTGATCGTGCAGATAAAATATCACAGGCAGAATTCTATAGGATGTGTTGTTGGTGCGTGAAAACGGTCAAGATCCAAGGCTCCCCAGTCATGCACCTCCAGATGGTGGCGATGTCAGCACCAACCATCCTGGCACCGAGGCATCATCAGTTGGTTGCAAGTGGCTGATAG